GGAGAGCGGAGATTATTTCATCAGATAGTGTGTGTGTTTAATCCTCACCCTGAGGACACACTCTTACCGATTTTAGAGAAAAAAGGAGAGAGAGAGAGAACATTGATCTGAGAAAGAAATATCAATCAGTTGCCTGTTGTACACCCCTGACTGGGGATTGAACCCTCCATCTAGGTATGTGCCCTGCCTGGGAATCGAACCCGCAACCTTTTGGTGTGTAGGACGACACTGCGACCAATTGAGCCACTGGCCAGGGCTCCAACCTACCACTTTAATATCTCTGAACAAGACAAGCTAGAAAATCAATCACTTTACATACACTTAAGAAGAATGTTCTGAAATTATTAGGAAGCTGCTACAGTTTTAAGCAGGGGAAGAAAAAAACTTTCATTTTACTTTTTTTGTGTGTGTTCTAGCAAATGATACTTTCAATTAACAGCCAACAGTGACATCCTTAAAAATAGTCTGCTTTTTAAATTTTTGAACTTCAATACAAATTAAAATAAAATAGTATTGGAGTCTTTGGGGAGGCAAATAGCCAGCAGCTACACTCATCTGTGTAGTTGAGCCTCTTCATCAGTACCCAGGTCCAGGCTGGGTCCAGGCCTGTCCAAAGGGAGGACGGTTACGCGCATAAGCGTTAGGCCCGCTTGGGGGAGGGGTCAAGGTACTTCCAGGAGGTTGTGTAAAACCTGGTCTTGGTTGATAGGCTCCGGGTTGGCTTGGAGTCATTCCAGAGGGTTAGGCAGGGCCACAGCATAATTAGTGGCTGAGAAGTGTGGGCAGTGTAAGCATGTGGAGGGTACTTGCCCCCCGGAACTGCGGTGGCGGTCAAGCAGGCAGTTGTTGAGGCTGACCAGGAAGGGCAGGAGCTGGCGCCTGGGAAGCTGGTCGCTGGTCATATCCCTGGAACTGCTCAGGTTGCTGGGGTCCAGTCTGCTGCCCAGAGCCTGCTGAATACTGAATACCACACTGCTGTGGCGGCTGAGGGGGTGCCTACGGCTGCTGAGCACATACTCGGCCCATTGCCCACACTGGTGGTGCCCCTGACCGGCTGTGGCTGAGCCCCGGTGTGACTGCTCCTGGGCACAGCTGCAGAGGCAGCAGAAGCGTCCTGCCGTGTCCCTGAGTGGTCTGCATCAGCACTGGATGGCCCAGAAACCTGATCATCTGTTAAGTGAAACGCTGACATGACATTTTATTGATTTCATCTTGCTTTTTTAAAGGAAAAAATGCTGACATACTTTCTGCCATAACCTGACAGTTTTCCAGAAGAATCAGAAGCAGCAGGATTTTCTTCCCTGCCATCCACAGCATCATTTTCAGGAATGTTGGTGGGACGTCCTGTGTGGCTCTCCATGGGGTTCCAAGTATCCAATATGTGACTCATTTTATTTTGAAGTTCTATCAGTTCTCCATGGAGAGAGTCCACCTGTCTTGATTCAAGAAGACTTGGCCTTAAACAGAAAATGCCAGTTTCAGTACCCTACTGCACTGCATTGCGAAGGGAAGGTCAGGACTATCAAAAATTGCTCTAAGATCTCCATCTCCATCGTTATACTTTATTATAACTTCTCCTTATTCAGCAGTTTTCCTCTGAGAACTCACTGCATTAATCAACTCTAATTCACAATAAGTAATATCTTCATTATGAGTGGGAATTGATCAGATGCCCTCCCCAAGTTGGGCTTCGATGATTAGCTTCCCACTTAGGTCCAACTGTCCATTCATGGTGAACTCCAGGACGTCAGATCTAGACAACTCTAGAGAAAGACAGCTTGCAAGGCCACCGCTGCTGCCTCTCTGCAGGTCTCTGCTGACCTGGGCTTGGCACGGCCATGGGGCTCTGTGGCGGGGGGAGGCTGTGGCCATGGCTCTCCAGGCTGCCCTCCACAGCCTCTGCCCGTATTCTCATGATTTTTATTTTATTTTTTTTAATCCTCACTCGAAGACATTTTTCCATATTTTGTTCAGATAGAGTGAGAGAGAAAGAAACATTGATGTGAAAGGGACACATTGAGTGGTTGCCACCCGCACGACCCAACCAGGGCCGGGGACAAACTGCAACTGAGGTACCTGCCCTTAGCGGGAACCGAACCAGGGTCTCTCCAGACCGTAGGCCGACGCTCTAACCGCTGAGCCAAACTGGCCAGGGCTCATTTATTTTTAATTTACTCTTTTTTCCTGTATTTTTTCATTGATTAAAAAATAACCAGATATTTGGCATTTTGTTGATTTTTACAAACAGCCAGGTCTTAGATTTATTTACCAGTTCCATTCTTTTTTAGCTAATTGATTCATTCGTTTCTGCCTCTATCTCTATTGATTCTTCCCTCACCTTCCTTAGGTTTACTTTGTGGTTGCTGGGCAGGCTTGTATAAATGAAGGGGGATCGAGCAAGGGCCCAGGTGTGTTAACCCCCAGGCCCTGGCCACCCGTGGTCTGGAGCCCTGAGCACTCTACCACCTTCTCCATCTCCCAGTGCTCCTAGGCCCCCGAATTCTGTTTCTGCTTTGAATTACAGCCTCACGACTGAAACTCTCCCATCTATTCAGTTTGAACTCCGTTCTTCCCTCTACCAAATTCAGAGGGTGGGGAAGTTTCCTAGATAAGTTGCTACTTCTTTTCCCTGAACCAGGGGGAGTCAGAGAGGAGAGGTGCACATCCGTGCTCTGTGCAGCCCTCCAGACGCGCCCTAGCTAGAATCCCACTGGCCTCCTCCAAGCCCAGGCCTGGCCTGTGATGGGCAGGGGCGAAGAACGGTGTTCACCAGATGGATACTGATTCGAACTCGGTGCCAGTGCTGGGTCTGAGGCCGCTCAGCAAAAGTCTAAGAGTATACCAAGGCCAGCCGCCATGTACCGAGTGCCCACAGACCTTTGGGGGCGGGGTCTTAGGGACTCGTCAAAGTGAGGCCGGCAGAGTTCATCGGGCTTAGACAGACCAAGATCTGGCCATGTGAAAGGAGGGTACGGCACAGGAACAGTGGCACTGTCAGCTACGTGAGGGAAAATAACCCCCACCCTAGAGCCACACAGCTCGGTCTCTCCTGTTCACCTCTGCCTCCCCGAGTTTGTCCAGACCTAGGGAGCCTTCCAAGAAAGTGTGCGCTGAGGGCCCAGGCTGGAGGCAGCCAGCCAGCTCCTCTGCGAGGGGCAGGCTCAGCAGGGTGGGACCACTAGGGGTGGAGACGGTGGGCTGGTGGATCTCCCATGGCAGGGCAGAGCCTGTCAGGAGGGAGGGGGACAGTGGCCCCACCCCAGAGCCACACAGCTCAGTCTCTGACATCCCCCGAGTCCACCTCAAGAGCACAAGACCCTCGTCAAGAGCCCTCCAAGGACATCTACAGTACGGCCCAGGCAGCTGCCCCCACAGGGCATGAGTTCCACAGAGTGGCCCACAGGGAGGCAGGAGGCTGGGGCTGGTACATTCGCCCAGGCTGATACTGTAAGAGGGGAGTGCTTGACTCAGAAAAGGTGGCATCTGTGGGCGGAGTGGGAGAAGGACTCGGCACAGGGACCCTGCTAGCATTCCCCTTCCCAGAGCCACACAGCCCACTCTCACCTCAAACAACCACAGTCTGCTCCACGCTGCTCCCTCCGCTGCGGCTCCGGTGAGTGGCCACGAATGAGATTTTGTGCACTGACCCTTTAAGAGGGTGCCTGGGTTTCTAGCAGACTCCTGTCTCTCCCTGGCAGATAGACTTCACAGACAGATGTTATGTGGGCTTCTCTTTCTAGCTCTGCTGCTCTGCTGGGGGCCCAGTGTGGAGTCAAGACCCCACACTCCTCAGGGGGGACCTTTGCAGCTGAGATACCCCTCCGGATCTTCAGCCACTGACTTCGGCTGCAGGGCAGCCCTATTTGTGTCTCCGCCCTTCCTATCCGTCTCCATGTGGCTTCTATAAATTCTTGGTTATGAGACTTCTGTTCAGCTAGTCTCCAGTTGGTTATCCAGGCTGATTGTTCTATAATATGGTTGTAGTTCTGGTTGGTCCTGGGAGGGGATGGATGTGACTTCCAGCCGCCTCGCGGCCTGTGGATGGGGTGCTTGCTTTCACTGGACGATAGGAGCTGCCAGATAAGGAGCTGCCAGTCGGGAGGGACCCGTCTCCCCCATTCCAAAGGAAGTGATGCGTTTGTTTTGTTCAGTTTACTATCCAGGTGCCTTTACGTAAGCTCTCACAAGCCTTTCTGGGAGTATGGAGAGTGAAATGTGTGGTAAGGAAGAGCCCTCAATTCTACTGAAAATGGAGATTATTTTATTTCCTGGGCCTAAAGCTAGGGGTAGAATGGAAGGTCCTCCAGACAGTCGTCACTTCTCCCAGGCACCTCCCCACAGACAGCCCAGGCAAAAGCCTGCATCTCTGGAGGGCGACACCTTGCCCACCCGGGCTCATCCGACGAGTAGGCCAGATCACATCCACGGCCCGAATTTGACTGCCAGGCCCACGGCTGAGTGAAGAGTTAAGGGGGGCACACGCCTTCCACCGCGTTGAGAAGTAGAGAAATACAAATGACCCACTGGAAAGTCGATGGGTTCCCCCAGAGCAGTGACACAGTGTGTAGCCCCGCCAGTCCGTGTCGTACGTGCTCTGTGAAGCATTTCCCGGGGACTGAAGCCTGTGTCTACTGGCGTCCCCATAACAGGAATAGCATATCTGAATTTCATTCATTCAGAAATAAATGTCAGTGGCTGTGGCTCTTTACATCTAGCAGCTCAACCACATTAAATATTTGGATGCCTTTCTGATCCTACTTAGAATAATGATGAAAGCCATGAATTTAGGGTGGAAAGCCTGGCATGTTTGTTGCTTGCAGTCCATTCTGTAGCTTTCTTTCAGGGCTTGAGTTGCTGAATAGGATGATTGTAAGCTGCCTACAAAGAGAAGTTCAGAGCTGTCTCTTGGTCCACCTCCCTGGAGCAGGGCTTCGGGGCTGGACCTCAGGCCCGAGGCCAGGTGAGGGCCTTCTCTCACCGGCACTGATTCTCACCCGCAGTGCCACCGGTCATCCGCGTCTACCCAGAGACCCAGGCACAGGAGCCGGGGGTGGCAGCCAGTCTGAGATGCCACGCAGAGGGTATTCCCATGCCCAGAATCACTTGGCTGAAAAATGGCATGGATGTCTCAACCCAGATGTCTAAACAGCTCTCCCTTTTAGGTAAGAACTGCCCTCGACGTCTCTGTGCTATTTCCATCAAGTTCAAGCTGACAGTCTCCCCAGGAATGGAAATGAGAGGCATGATTTGTTTTCTAAGTCAGACATGCTGGGAGTGAACAAATGTCTCCCCCAATTCTTCTCCTATCGGGGCTCACACAAGTCGTGTAGGCTTCCTGAGAGCAATGACGAGAAGCTGTCAATCAGGTCCCAGGCCACCCTCGGTTTATTTCAGATGGCCTGACCCTTTCTGAGCATGTCAGGGATATTGGCTACCCTCAGCCCTGCTGTGATTTTAACATCAGCACTGGCAATAGCCCTGTGACGCGCATGGGGAGGGCGTGAGAGGGGGTCCCAGCTGGGCAGGCGTCCTGAGCACTCTCCTTTCTGCAGCCAATGGGAGCGAGCTCCACATCGGCAGCGTTCGCTATGAAGACACAGGGGCGTACACCTGCATTGCCAAAAATGAAGTGGGCGTGGACGAAGATATCTCCTCACTCTTCATTGAAGACTCGGCTAGAAAGACCCGTGAGTCCACTCTTGGCTTTGAGCTCTTCGCCAAGCTGGTTGGGATGTGTTAGGTGTCCGGGAGGGAAGTATCTGACTAGGGCCAAAGCTGCCAACCATGTGCCCCTGAAAATGAGGTAACACCCATATCCCTCTGTGCTCAAACCTGAGGAGAGGGGGTGCCCAGAGGAGAGCACACCTTCTGGGGCAACCTAGACAACTCTGGAAACATAGAGGAACTCCCTGGTCAGCAGGCAGAGCCCAGGACCACAAGGAGGCTCACATAGCCTGGCCCCAGTTCTGCCTCCTACTTGCTGTCTGGCTGGACCTCTGCCCTCATCTACAAAACTCCTCCGCCTACCCACCCACCAGGTGCTGCTGTCCCACAAGGCCCAGCAACTGGCCTGTGCACACCTGCCTTTACTCCAGGGACTGCCACCCACCTGGGTGCTAAGGGAGCGCTCCCTTGTAGCCACTGCTCCCCAAGAGGGTCTGCTGCCATGATTTCAAGTAATTGGTGTTGGACACGGTCTCATTCCCTTGGTAACAGACTCCAAACTGAGTCTTGATCAGCGAGAGAGAATGAGAAGTATTTCAGATCAGGAGAATCCTAGTTGACAATCAGAGCTGTCCTGGAAGTAATCCAGGAGGTCTGAGAGAGATGTCGCTCCCTCTTTGTCATTCACAGAAGCAGAGCATGCCATTAGCTTCTGTGATCCTGGGACCTGATTTCAAGGATTCACTCAGAATCGAAAGGGTCTTGAGACCTGGAAGCATTTGTCCGTGTGCACCGCCCCAGCACGCTCGCGGGGCAGCGAGTGGTGCCGGCTCGGTGCATGGTGGGCTAGATAGCAGAGTTCACGAACTGATCCCTGCAAGGAAGGTTTCACACTGCTTTCTTCTCTTTTTCCTTCCCTCCATCATGTTCCCGCTCTCCCAATTCTCCGCGGCTGCAGTAGCAAACATTCTCTGGCGCGAGGAAGGTACCGAGCTCACTTGTTCTGTGTCATGTCTGTGATCACGTATTCGTAGTTCCAAAATGGGCCATCTTTCCATGGGCCGCCAAGCAGTCCCCACAAGTGGGGTTCACGGGCCACATCGGGTGGGACGGGGAGGTCCATGTCAGACTCAAGTGGCACACACTAAGAAGCAGGTGTCAACCCTCCTCGTGGCTCCAATGGCCACTGGCGTGCGACAGTTCAGAGACCCACGGAAGGGGCCGCTCAGCAGGGGTCCTGGTCAGAGCCAGGCCTTACACTTTTTCCCAGTAGCTAATATTGGTGTTGGGGCTTAGTGTATACTCTGAGGAAATGCTGAAGAAAAAGGCTATTATGAGACTGTAAATATATATATTTACATGTATATTTTTTTAATGAATAGACTTTTTAAATTTGTATTTCTCAAACAATCTTTAGACGTTAGGTCAGGCCATACAAAATTGCCATTTTTGTACATAAAAAATGGCCTGATACAGGCAATTTCATATGGTTTAAAAAATAACAGGCACATGTGGGAGTTGAGTTGGGAGCCTGAGTCACGGCTCGGTCCAGAGCGATGCCCAGACCCCGAGAGGTAACTTCTCCAGTCCGGTGGGCAGAGGGCCCGAGCAGTGTGAGCAGCAGAGTGTGCTGATGTCGGGGTTAAGCACAAAATCCCCCTCTGTAAAAACCAGCGCAGTCCCTGTCTCGTTTCGCCTCCAGAATGTCGCGTGGTGCTCCCAAGGTCTGGCATGTGCTGCATACACACACTCAGGACCAGGCTCTGAACATCAGACACTAGTGCTTACACAGTAAGCCTGGCAGCAGAGCAAAGGCAGCGCCCAGAAAAATGAGGACTTGCTGCCAACAGGCTTTGGGAATCGTTGGAAGAACAAGTCATAGCAACAAATGCTCCTCATGGACAACTGACCCTGCACGCTGCCGAGCCTGCCCCTGGGCCACAGTGCACACATGGCTTTGGTTCTGTATCTTTAAGATGTGGTTTTCTCCAAGGTGAAATTACTACAAAGGGACCCAGGGAATGCAGGAGGCCCATGTAAGACCCATGTAAGACCCATGCTGCCTTAGGGCTGGAGGTGCCGCACTAATATCGGACACCCAGCAGCAGACAAACCCCATCGTGCCTGGGCACCAGCTGCTAGTACCTTCACTGCTGAGACTCGAGGCCTGGAGGTAGGGAAATGCAGATGCAAGAACAAAGAGACTGGCAGGCCACGGGGCACTCTCAAACCTCACTAGAAGTGAGATGATGAGAGCACACACAAGTTCCTTCGTGCCCCCTCGGTAGAAGCTAAGCTCAGACAGAACCTTCCAGGGCTTACTGGGTCATAAGGTTGGAGCGCCTGTGAAGTCAGTTGTTTGTTGAGGAGTATTTGTTCAGTCTCCTATTCCACCGCCAACTGTGAGCAAGGCACTGTGCTCAGCCTGAAATGTAGCTACAGCTGCAAACCCAATGGAGATTCTATTAAGCCTTCAATGTTGGTCCTTCTAGCTATCAATTTTCTGAGAAGCCCCAGGAGGCTATTTCTGGGGTCTGTGGTTGTGCAAGGGCTTTGACCCCCTTGGATCCCTAGGTTTGAGTGAGAAGTTTGCCAGGTGGGAGTGTACAGAAACCAAGGTCCGCTGAGGGCGGAGACGAGGCCCCCGTGGGTGGCCAGCTTCGTCTCGCTCTCAGGGACAGGCTGCCAGCACCAGGTGCCCGTCAGGAGCTATGCAGGTACTCCCAGACAATGCCAGCTTTTGAGAGGCGGGGTCAAGCTGTCCACCGTGGCAGGAACCCTCCTACCCAGAGCCCCTCTCAGCACAGAACCAGAGGCAGTGGGTGTTGCTTCATGGAGTCAGGGCCTCTGTCCATTCGGAACCACAGGCACTGGTGCCGTCACCGTGGGCGAGAAAATTGCCCGCAGAGTCGTTGGAAGCAAACGGAATGCTGACTCCTATTCACCTGATTGTTTTCTAACTCACTAAAAACTTAGCCAGGTAGTCGATTACGTCAATGTACCAGTGTTCTCTGCATGTTAGCGAAGAGTTTTCTGTATATTATTTTAATTTAATATATTTAATTTTATAAGAATTTATAGAAATCTTTTTATTCCACCTTCAAAAGGGGGTGGAGGGAGTGGGAGGAGGAATTCAAACGTGACCCACCTTTGTGGCAGGTTTGCCTTTTACGGAGAGGCAGAGTGAGGGGACCAAGCCCCCAGCAGGGGCTCAGGCTCTACCCCCAGCTCTGGCACAACAGCATGTGGCCTCCTTGGACTTCAGTTTCTTTGTCTTTAAAATAAGGAGGTTGAACTAACTAGTGGTCCCCAAGGCCTTTTCTTCCCAGGGAGCCCAGCCCCGGGCTGGGGTGGGGCAGGCAGGCAGGCACGACCAGGCTGTGGGCTCTGCCACCCAGCGCAGGGCTGCCACAGAGGCACTGCTGGGGCAGAGGTAGGAGGGGCTCTTGAAGGAGGGGTTCACCAGCACAGACAGACCGGAACTCAGTTTGGACCAATGAGCACCTGCCACCGTGTTCTAGAGCCCCACGTTCCAGGAAGTGGCACTGTACCTGAGTGTGTTCACAATAAGGGCCTTCGCTTTTGGGGAATCATCTCATCCATCCTGAATTTAGTGGACAACAAATGACCAAGGGAGGCTTTGCCTTTTGGAGCAGGAAAGGTCAAATGTATGTCAGAGCCAAGGCTGTCGTGTCGTCTGTTTGACAGCTTGTGTTGGTGGCCAGCCCTAGTTGACTGATGTGCATGCTGGGAGGGCCCCTGGGGGCTGCAGAGCTCTCCATGTGCTGTACTGATGGACAGTCCTCGGGGCTCCTTCTCCGTGCCCCCACACACTGCCTGCTCATCTCACCTCGCCCCGTCCGGACCGGGACTTGCACTCGTGCCTGCCCCAGATACACCCGGACTGAAGTTTCGCGTGTGCCCGATATGGCACATGACCCCACGGGGGCTGGCTGCTAGGAGGGACATAACCGTGGCTGTGTTTGCTCCTCCCAGGTCTCAGTGTGGGAAATATGTTCTATGTCTTCTCCGATGACGGCATTGTCATCCTGCACCCCGTGGACTGTGAGATCCAGAGGCACCTCAAACCCACTGAGAAGATCTTCACGAGCTACGTACGTTTCCTCACCGTGGGCGCTTCCACATCACACGCGTGCCATTCGATTCTTTAGTTCCATCTGCTATATGTGGTATGGCTCCGGATCTGTCCCAAGGCTAAGAAAGGAACGCATGAGGCTGAGCACGTGACGCTCATCCCTTCATCAGGCAGCCACTTCCATGCCCTGAGCCCACGCGAGGTCCGGCGAGTATGGATGGGTTCCCGGCCTCCCTGAGTTCACAGTCAAGATGAAGACAGCAGTGTGGACCGACAGCTCGCTGCCCAGTAGATGCTGTTAGGAGGGTGTGCAAGGTGCACTGGAAATTGAGGAGAGAATCCTCTCCAGACCTGGGAAGGTCAAAGTCAGAGAAGGCTCCTGGGACTCGTGATCCCTGGGCTCGGCTTTGAAGAATGAGCAGGAGTTGGTGATGGGTTTCTGGAACAAATGTCATGAAGAGGAGAATAGAGGCAGAAAACAACAGGTCATGTTCAGGGAACAGAAAGTACTCTGTGTGCCTGGAGGGGAGGTAGATGTGGGGAGGGCCTACGATTAGGACACTTGGTGAGGGTCAATGCTGGGGAGTTCTCATGGAGTCCTAGAGCTCTGGGAACCCCTGAAGGTCCTCAGGCAAGGGATGGCCATGATCAGGTCACTGTAGAACGTGTGGAGGACCTCAGCGAGGTAGTGAGCAGAAGGGCTAGTCTAGAAGCACAGAGGCAGTGAAAAGGTCATTGTAACGACCCAGGTGAGAGGGTGGTGTTCTGGTTAAGCCAGTGGCACTGGGAACGGGAAGAATTGAGTAGGTTTTAGAGCCAGTCACAGGCAAACAGGGAACCTGAGGGTAAAGCAGACCCCGCCAGCAGGAGGAGAGCGCCCTTCACACAGGAGGAGGAGCGGGTTAGGGGTGGGGGTGCAGGTCATTCTCTAACATTCTACCAGGAAGTGCCACTTGACAGGTTGGGTGCTGGGGACCCAGGAGCAGGACTGATAGGCTCCCGACAAGCAAATAAGGTTGGCCGACGATGCACTTGGTTTGAGGTGCCCATGGGACATAAGCTTAGAAACATCCAGAAGGCAGTGGGGGAAGTGGCAGTGGTGGGCTGAAGAGGCCTGGGCTCTCTGACAGGCAAAAGGAGCAGCTTTAAGGAAGCCTGGAGAACATGGTCACAGACCCAGAGAGTCCAAGTTTACAGAAGGAAGGGGAGGCTCAACCCATCAGTAGAGGAGGCAAGCTTGGAGGTCCTCAGTGGCCCTCAAGAACCTCAGGGTGACAGCCTAAAACATGTGCTAGCCCAGAGTGTCACAGGTGCTCTGAACAAAATCTGAGGCCAGGTAGAACGGGGAAGCTTAACGTGCAGTGGGCAGAGGCAGAGATGACTGCTGGTCGCAGGTCCAGGAAGCCCTTTCAGCCCTCGAGACCCAGCTGCCAGGAGGTCTCCCAGGACTGTGCTTCTCACCCAACCCCACCCTGGGACTCTGTCCCTCCCGCTGGAATCCCGCTCAACCTCTTTGTGTTGGTGGTTTCTCCCATGAGGTCTGACCTCGTCTACTAATCCCTAGCTACTTGAGGGTACAACTGTGGCCTGGGTCCCAGAGTCATCCGAAAGCCCCCACATGCCCTCTCCGCGACGACACACAGTGAATGAGCCGGGGAATAGCGACGGGCTCGGAGCCCAGGGCGGAAGTGGGCTCGGCCCAAGCCAGTTCCTAAAACAAGTTTGTTGCTGTGTTTTGCTAGCGGTTGGTGTACCTCAGGCAGTTTCATCTCACATCTGTAGCTTTGGAACAGCTGTTTTCCAGGCTGTTTCATTTGAATTAATTATTATTTTTGTGTTACCTCTGATGAGTTTCCCCTTCCATGTAGGAGCCATGAGTTGATCTAGAAAGTTGTCCTAGTAGATTTCTAGCAGTTAGGTTTAAATAATGGCACCCATCACTTTGGCACTAATTTTTCATATATGTGCAATACTCTTACCTGTAGCTTGGGGGAAATCTCTCAAATCCTAACCAGGACTCAGTTTTCCTAAGAAGCTAGAATAAGACATAGTAAGAGAGGTCCTAAGGGGTTAAGGCCACACAAGACCACAGTGAGCTGTGGGACAATCCCATATAATAGTTTTCTCATCTAGAAAATGTCCAAACACCCCACAGGAGGGTTACAGTAGAAGGAGCCTCTTTCTGCAGTGCTGACTGAGAAGGAGGGTGATGCTCTCCTCTCGGGCCTTTCTGCTGGATTAGATGTCCATCCCCTTTGTTCAGCGGGAAGCAGCATGATTGGATCCAGGCAGACCTGGGTTCCACCTTTGTCACTCAGTAGGCTTAGTGGCTTTAGAAAACTCACTTAACCCTTCTAAATCTCCGTTTCCTCATGTACAAATTGGGGTTATCGTGAGGATGAAGTACGATGACAGAAAGCAGCAAGAATAAAGGAGAAAAACCTGCCTTAAAGCTACTGCAGCCATTTAGGAAAGAAATGGAGGGGAGATGGAAAGAGGATGAACTCAGAGATTTAGGAGGAGACTCAGTAGTCCTTGAGGATGAATTTGTAGTGAGTTACATGGGAGAAGGAAGAACCAGAGATTGTAGTCATGCTTTGGACGTGGCTGACTGAATGGTGATGAGGACTCGAAGGGAGGAGAAGAATCGTTCAGGTGCCGATGGCTGAGTATGAGGGCCATGAGAGAACCAAGTGGGAACCGGAAAATGTGGTTCTGAGCTAAAGACACAGACCCGGGAGCGTCAGACAGAATGTTGGCTAAAGCCAGAGGTTAGCCAATATCACAAGGGTGTGTGTGAATGATTTGAGAGGGGCACCTAGAACCGAACCCTGGGGGTCATCACAGTCAACAGGCAGACCGAGAGGAACCACAAAGAAGATCGAGACAGACTTGGCCAGAGTCATGAGGATAAACATGAGAATGTATATCATGGAAGACGAGGGAAAAGGCGGCCCCCTTTTCCACTCATGTATTCATTCAACAAATGTATTTTAAGAACCAATTCTGTGCCAGGCACTATCTAAGTGCTAAAGATTCAACAATGAACCAAACAGACTAAAGGCCTGCTCTCCAGGAGTTTACAGTCTAGTGAAAAAAGAGACTAAACATAGGTAGAAAAATACATAAAGTCAAGTGGTAAATGAAAGATGCAAGGAGGTAAAGGAGCAAGGAGGGCTGGGGGCAAGAAGACGCCAGATGAGGTCAGAGAAGGCCTCTCAACAAAGGGACAATTATGCAGAGATCTGAAGAACGTGAGGGAATAAACCACGTAGATATCTGGGGAAGAGCATTCCCAGCACAGGGAACAGCCAGTGCAAATGCCCCGGTGCAGGAGGGTAGCATGAGTGAGGAAGAGCAAGAATGCTGTGTGCATAGAGTAGGATGGGTAAAGGAGAGAAAAGCACAGTGTACAGGGCTTTGTAGGCTTCAGGAAAGATTTGGATCTTATCCTGAGCAAGAAATTGTTACTGGGGAGGGAAGAGTTGAGAAGAGGAGTAACATGACCTGACTTACATTTCACAACAATCCCTGTAGTTCTGCATGTAGAGCAGGTTAGGGGAGACGAGGGTAGAATCCAGGGGCCACCTGCATGCTTAGCAGTTACTCAGGTGACACAATCAGGATTGAGCCAAGGTGACAGAGGTGGAAGTGGTAAGAAGTTGATATATTTAGAAGGTAAAGCTAGGATGATTTTTAATGTGTTGAGGGTTGAGGGTATGGGGAGAAAAAGAGTCAAAGATGGCCTCCAAGTTTTTGGCCTAGGAATCAAAGCAATGGAGATGCCATTTTTTTTTTTAACTTATTTCTATTGTTGAATGTATTACAGATGTTCCTCATTTTCCCCCAGTGACTCCCTCCTGACTCCTGCCCTTTCTCCTGCCTTTCCCCACACTGTTGTCTGTGTCCATTGGTTATGCAGATTAAGTTCTTTGGTTTATTTCTTCCCACCCCCCAAGCCCCCTTCCCTTTGAGGTTTGTCAGTCTAGCAACCAATTTGTACTTCTTAATCCCTTCACCTTTTTCACCCATTCCCCCAAACCCCTTCCCATATGGCAACTAACAAAATGTTCTCTGTATCTATGAGAATGTTTCTGTTCTGCCTGTTCATTTTGTTTGTAGATTCCATTGTCAATAGATATGTATTCATTGCCATTTTGTTTGTTCATATTTTTTATCTTTTTCTTCAAAAAGACTCTTCAACATTTCATATAATAATGGTTTGGTGGTGATGAACTCCTTTAGCTTTTCCTTGTCTGGGAAACTCTTTATATGGCCATCGATTCTAAATGACAGCTTTGCAGGATAGAGTAATCTTGGTTGTAGGTTCTTGCTTTTCATCACTGAATATTTCTTGCCACTCCCTTCTGGCCTGCAAAGTTTGTTTTGAGAAATCAGCTGACAGCCTCATGGGAACTCCCTTGTAGGTAACTCGCTGCCTTTGTCTTGCTGCTTTTAAGATTCTCTCTTTGTCTTGAACCTTTTGCACTTTGATGATGCTGTGTCTTGGTGTGGGCCTCTTGGGGTTCATCTTGTTTGGGACTCTCTGTGCTTCCTGGACTTGTATGCCTGTTTCCTTCACCAAGTTAGTGAAGTTTCAAATAGGTTTTCGATTTCTTGTTCTCTCTCTTCGTTTTCTGGCACCCCCAAGATGCGAATGTTGGCACACTTGAAGTTGTCCCAGAGGCTCCTTACACTATCATCATTTTTTTGGATTCTTTTTTCTTTTTGCTGTTCTGATTGGGTGTTTTTTGCTTCCTTATATTTCAAATCGATGGTTTGCTACTTGGCTTTACCTACTCTACTATTGAATCTGTGTAAATTATTCTTTATTTCAGTTAGTGCCTTCTTCATTTCTGACTGATGCTTTTTTAAGCTTTTGAGGCCCTTACTAAGTTCACTGAGGTTCTCACTAAGTTCACTGAGCATTCTTATAAGCCGTGTTTTGAACTCAGCATCTGTTAGGTTGCTTATCTCCATTTCGCTTAGTTCTTTTCTTGGGGTTTTGTTCTGTTCTTTCATTTGGGACCTGTTTCTTTGTCTCCTCATTCTGGCTGCCTCCCTGTGTTTGTTTCTGTTTTTTACTTAACAAGAGGTATGGGGCTAGCTGAGACCAGATGCTGCTCGTTTGAAAGAATTTAGGAAAACCTGAAACAGGATCCAAGACAGGCCAATCCTATGGTAAAGCAAGTGGCAACAGCTTGGGTGGGCCTGAAAGTTGGGTGGGGCAGGGCGGGGCCTCAGGGAGTCACCAGGGCGGGGCTACCAGTGTGAGCCAGGTTGCTGGAGTCCCAGATATGGCGGCTGCTGTCTGCTGCCCCAGGAAAGGGCTCACAAAGGCCTCTGACAGCACATCTTTCCAGGAGAAAGCCCCCTCTCCAGCCCTCACTCCAATGTCAAACAGCTCAGTTCTTCCCTGTATGTCTCTGGCACCCCTCGAGCTGCTTCCCCTCTGCGCTTAGAGGGAGAGAGTCCGATAAGTTCGTGCGCGGGCCCTTTAAGAGGAGCTGCCTGGGGCTCCAGCCGCATCAACCTCCCCGAGCCTCAGTTCCTGCTGGTTTTTCCAGCCAGAAGTTACGGAAACTTCTCTTCCTGGCACTGGAACCCTGAGCGGGATGCCTGGTGTGGGACGGGGACCCCTCAGTCCTCAGGGAGGACCTTCCCAGCTGAGGTGTCCTCCTGATTTTTATCCACAACACATGGGTGTGGGACCAGCCCGTCCACCTCCACCCCTCCACCCCTCCTACCAGTCTCAATGTGGCTGCTGCTTTACTTCCGTAGTTGTAGGACTGCCATTCACTTGATTTCAGGCGGTTTTGAATGATGGTTGTTCTGTAGTTTAGTTGTAACTTTGATGTGGTTGTGGGAGGACGCGATACCACGTTTACCTACACCACCATCTTGACCAGAAGTCGGAGATGCCATTTTTTGAATGGAATAAGCAGGACTAGATGGTAAAATTGAGAGTTGATTCTGGACTTACATGTTTGAGATGTACATTAAATAATCAAGCCAAGCTAAATAGTTGCTGTATATGTCTGGAGTCCAGGAAAGAGGCCTGAGCTATAGACATAGATTTGGGAGTTGTAGGCAGAGTAGTTAATTAAGGGCATAGGTTTGGGTGAGATTAACTTTAGAGAAGAAAGTTATTCAGGAGTGAACTCTGCAGCATCCCACAACAGAGAAGGATCAGCCACTGGGGGAGGATGGAGGGAGAAGAACCAAGGAATAGTTGACAGTGTCAGATGATGCCCCAAGTTCGAATAAAATGATGGCAGGGGATAATTTAATAGCTGAGGAGTCAACGTTGACTTCAGTGAGAACACCACCAGCTTTGTGGTGAGGACTAAAGCCAGAGGGTTAAGGACCATATGAGAGATGAGGAAGCAGAGAAAAAGTGCAGGGAATTATTTCAGAAGTCGGACCATTAAGAGAAGTTTTTAAAATAATAGCGATGAGGACAAAGAGAAAACAGCACACAAGAGAGGAAGAACATGGACTGGAAGCTGCTGATTAGGAGGGTCGTAAAGGGCCCAGCCAGTGTGCCTCAGTGGTTGAGCACCGACCCATGCACCCAGAGGTCGCTGGTTCGATTCCGATCAGGGCACATGCCCAGGATTGGGCCAAATCCCCAGTGGGGGACATGCAGGAGGGCCAATCAATGTGTTCTCTTATCGATGTTTCTATCTCTTTCTCCCTATCCCTTCCTTTCTCTCTAAAATCAATAAAGGGGAAAATTTTTTGAAAAAAAAGTGGGCCATAATGGGAGTTACAGCCTCACAAGAGGGAGGAGGATGAAAGGAATGTTAAGTGAAAAGTTGGTGAGCTGGGAAGGTTGTGTGCCATGTTCTGTGAAACCAAAGGATTCTAAATGTGGCAAGAAAGGAACAGAGGAGAGTCAGGGGAGAGGGAATCCAGGGGTGTCAGTGGGGAAAGGAGGATTAAGAACTTATATATGGCAGCTTACCTTCTTTACAGGAAGAAATCTGTCCTCAAGAGGAAGGAGATGCCACCCAGCCATGCCAGTGGGCATCAGCAGTGAACGTCAGGCACCGGTACATCTATGTGGCCCAGCCAGCACTGAGCAGAGTCCTCGTGGTCGACGTCCAAGCCCAGAAAGTTCTGCAGGTACATCTGTCTGAGGGAGTGAGGGGACTTCCGGTCCTGGGGCACAGCCTCCCAAATTCTTCTTTGCTTTCTGCACATTTCCCGGCTACTGTGAGGGTGGTCGGGCTGGAGGGAAAAGTGAAGGAGATTCATGTGCAGTGGTTCAGCACATCTTTGTTGCCTGCTAGGTGCCAAGCACTGTGCTAGGTGCTCGGAAAACAGCCAAAAATGAACAATGAAGTCCTCAAACTTATATTCTAGTTGGGGAAACAGACCATAAATCAGAATTTTAGGTAAATGTAAATAGTAAGTCTGTTACGAGAGGTGAAATATGATAGAGGAACCGGAAGATGATAATTAATGGCTCTGGAGGTGAGCAGAATCTGAGATCTAAATGCCAAGTGGGATTCCAACCCTGGGAGCAGAGGGAAGGCCAATGGCGAGGGGGAGAGTGGGAAATCGTGTAGTCGCAGGTGAACAAGGGCCAGTGAGATAGAAGCAGAGTGAGATGGAAAGCCACTGAATGGTCTTAAGCAGGGGAGTGGCATAATCTGACTTACTTTTTTTGAGTCAATCTGGCAACTGTATTAAGAACCAACCAGAAGAGAGGGCAGGGGTGTGGCCACTGAAACCAGCCAGGAAAGAGATACAGCAGTGGAGGTGGTGAGACCGGATCAGACTCTTGATGTAGTTTAATCGTGAAGCCCAAAGATGTTCTGCTGGGTTGAGTGTAAGGTTTGAGAGAGCAGAATCAAGTTTGCTTGCTTTAACTTCTGCAACTGTAGACTGGAGATGCCATTTACTATGTGGTAGACTGAATAATGGCCCCCAGAATGCCCCCATCCTAATCCCAGAATGTGTGAATGTCACCTTATATGGCAAAAGGAATTTAGCAGATGCAAATAAATTAAGGATTTTTAAATGGGGAGTTACCCTGGATTATCTGGGTGATCCCTAAATGCAAACAAACGTATCCTTGTAAGAGAGAGGCAGGGATAAATTTGAATAATGTCTACACAGAAGAAGGAGACAGTGCGAGGACTGAGGAGCATGGCAAACTGCTGACTTTGAAGATTGGAGGAAGGGGCCATGAGCCAAAAAATGTAGCTAGGCCGGGAAAGTACGGAAATGCATTCTCCCCTAGAACCTCTAGAGGGAGCACTGCCTTACAGAGACATGTTGGTTCAGCTCAATGAAAGTCATTTCAGACTCTGGCCTCCAAAAACTGAAAGAGAACTGTGTCTTAAGCCACTAAGTATGTAGTAAAGTTACTGCAGCAATATGAAACGGATATACTATGAGAGACACTTTGAGCAAGGCAAGGGTAGGGGCATGGAGCAAGTAAAGGGGAAAATTAGGAAATCAGTTTTGGCTCTGTGAAGTTTAAGATGATGTGATGTAGATATCAAGTGAGCAGTTAGATAAACAGGACTGGAGTCAAAGGAGAGATGTAAGCTGGAGATGTCAATGACCGTATCATCATCATATGGATGAAAAATCCCTAAGGGTGGTACAGACAGAGAAGAGGTCAAGGTTGGACCACTCTAACACTTCAAGATCACAAAGGAGAGAAAAGCCAACAAGGAGACCCAAAGGAGTAGCTGAAAGGTAGGAAGAAAATTAGGGAGGAGGATATTCCAGAAGCCAAGAAAAGAGTGTTTTAAGGGAGAGTTAGTGGTCAGTGGTGTCAAATGTAGCAGAGTATTTGTATGTTATGAGAACTGACTGTTGAATTTGGTACCACGTGGATCACCTTGGCAGGAACAGAGAGGATGGTGATGGTGAAATGCAAGCCTGAGGGAGCAGATCCAAGTTAGAATGGTAAGAAAGGACATGGAGATGGTGAATCTAGACAACTATTTTGAGGAAGTTTGCTGTAAAGGTGAGTACAAATAGACAGTGAGGCAGTAGTTGGAAGAGGATGTGGAAAGAACTTTATTTTTTGAATAAATGACATTACAGCATTTGTATGCAAATGGGAAAGTGTTTCCATAATTCTTCCCTTTCTTCTGCCTCATAGAATTAAGCAAGCATCAGTGAAATCTAGGGCATACAAGTGGAGATGCTAGCCTTCAATAAAGGCACTTTCTTGTAAGAGGAGCAAAGAAAGTATACAGGCACATTAGCCAACGACAAGAACAGGAGGGGTCATAGTCCAGGGACATGAGCATCATAGAACAGAGCTTTAGAACCTATAACACCACATTATAAGCAGAAGAGAGAAAAGTCTCCAGGGCCACAGGGGAAGCTCTGTTCTCAGGGGAGAGCAAAGTTTCAGTTACAGCAGTAAAAATAGTCTGCTTGGTGCTACAGTCTGAGTCCCAGACGGTCCCACTTAAGGATGTAGAAGACAGAGGTTGTGCAAAGATAAGGTGATAATGGATGGTCTCAGAGTCCATCTCAGATGGCCCAGGGAAGGGCCTGCTCACCAGTATCCAGGCCATGGAGCAGCCTGGGGAAGGATGCTGAGAGTGTACGAGGCCCAAAAGCTTCCAGGAGATGTGATGGGAGGGTCCTCAGCTGACTCTTAAATGGATGACTCTGTGTCTAGGCTTCTGCCAAAGTGATCTGGTCTCTCCTTTAAGTAAAACATACAAGAAGTTTTTAAAAGAGAAAAATTATCGACAACCAATGTTATGCCTCTGAAGACAAACCCAGAATGGAGGCTTCTCACTGGGTTCTCATTGCCAAGGCTGCTGGGCTGGCCTCCACTTGCCCGGGAGTGATGGCATGTGCACAAAGCCCAGGAAAGACCACTGTCAGCCTCTGCAACACCCATGACCAACTTGTCTTTATTTCTTTTCAAGTCCATAGGTGTGGACCCTCTGCCGGCTAAGCTGTCCTATGACAAGTCACATGACCAAGTGTGGGTCCTCAGCTGGGGAGATGTGTACAAGTCCCAGCCAAGCCTCCAGGTATGTTGACCACGTGGAGGCTGATACCTTCCCCACGGAAAAGCCTTGCTCCCTATGTAATTGTCTGCCACTTCCCTAGTGACCAATCACACTTATCCAAAATATGTCCATGAGGGCTTGCAGAGGAGCAGAAAACAGCCTCAGGCCAACACCCCTTACAGGCTATTGATAGGGTATCTTCAGCAAGACCTGCAGTTAAAGATATTAATACTGATGATGGACAGGATTTTGATGTTCTGACAACCAGAATGTGGCTCCGGGGCCCCACCCATCCCCACAACACCCTTCTGAGCCAGGAGTTCTGGGGTCAAGCAGCAGTGAAGACTGGAGCCCAGGTATGAAGAAGGAAGACAGGCTCTCTTCACCTTGGGCTGGGCGGGCTAGAGATTTAGAGTCAAAGCAAGTACTAGACACGGGCCAATAAAAAAGGGGAAGGAAAAGAAGCAGCAGCAATGATGTCCATAAACGGAAGCATGATTACAGAGTGCTTCTAGTGTGCTAGGGCACAGAAAAGTTAGGCAATGTGCCCGTGAGCCAACCCCAGCAACAGGCTCTGCAGCCCCACCTCCAGCTTCGCTACTGCTCCCCGAGAAGAGCGTGGGACCCGGAGATCTGTGGGATTCTTCCCTCTGCCAGCCAGGAAGATCCATGCCACCCCTGGGTTAAGTGTGCCTAGCTCAGCCTTTCTCATCAGGGATGCAAGAGAGAATTAAGTTCTACAAAAAGTGATTTGTTTTTGTGGGGTTTTTTTTTTATTCTTTATCCTCACCCAAGGACATTTTTTCCATTTTTTGTTCAGATAGAGTGGGAGGGAGAGAGAAAGAGAGGAACATCAATGCGAAAGGGACACATCGAGTGGCTGCCACCCGCTCGACCCAACCAGGGCCAGGGACAAACTGCAACGGAGGTACATGCCCTTAGCGGGAACCGAACCCTGGTCTCTCTGGACTGCAGGCCGACATTCAAACCACTGAGCCAAACCGGCCAGGGCTACAAAAAGTGATTTGAATGCCTGTTTTCTCAATTCTCCCCCAAATGGTACATAGAACCATTCTAGATGCACAGAAAAGTTAACTCATTATGTACAATGGATGCCTCGGGTTTTAGGGTTTGATTCTCTCTCAGAACCTCGGCTGAAAAGGGCTGTAGGTGGAGCCAAGTCAGCCCTGTTTCCAAGACTGGTGAGAGGCCAGGAACACCCTGGTCTGGAGAAGCTCCCTCCGGGGCCGGCCACCTGCCGCCTCCCTCGGCGGCACCAGGGGGAGGGCACAAATGCACCTCCTGTACACTAAGACTGTTGTCACTCAGTGAACTCATCAACCAGTCCTGAGCCCACGTGAGCTGACAACAAATAATAACAACCCATTAGAGGACCTAGAACCTGGAATAAAGGTCACTCAGACAGAGGATAAGCCCACAGAAATGGTATTACCATTGGTCCCTCTGACAGCTCTAAGAAGTGCTTAAAGACACTCGAGGGGAGGGCCACCAAAAAAGATTCTTCTGGAACTAAAAATGATTATCTAATTTCCAACTGCAGTAGATAAGTTGAGAAGCGTACGGTTTCTGCCGAGACCTGAATATATGAGGAGATTAAGACTTGACATCTCTGAACACAGAAGTTTAGAAAGAGAAAAGTAAACAGTCAAAATGGAGTCCAACATTAAATAAATTTGGAATAAAATTTCCAAGAGGATCTACAACTTCCTGGCTAGACTGATAAGAAAGGACACATCTCTGCCCTTGGTGGTAAAAGAATAGAAGGGAAACCTTACAAGGCAGAAGGAACAAATTACCTATAGAAGAAGCAGCAATCCGCTGGGCCTTGAACTCTCACCTACAACAGGAGCTGGGGGACAGTGGAATCACATCGACATACTGCTTAGATCAAAGGGCTGAGATCCAAGAATCATGTACCCCACCAAGATACCATTTACCTGTCAGGACAAAAGAAAGATGGAAGGACATGGAAGAATCCAGAGAGTGTGTCACTCACGTGCACCACCTGAGGAACGTGTAAGGAACCAGATCAGAGACTTCAAGACGGAGAAAGAGAAAGAGGAAACCGTCGGAAGGAAGGAAACTGGGGAGGAAGGTGTAAAATTAACAGTCAGAGGGATGCCCCGGCAGGGTGGCTCCGCTGGTTGGAGCATCGTCCTGGACACCAAAAAGGTTGCAGGGTCAGTCGGGGCGCATACCTAGGTTATGGGTTCAATCCCCAGTTGGGGCCCATGTGGGAGGCAACTGATGGATGTTTCTCTCTCCCTTCCTCTCTCTCTCTAAAAATCAATAAAAACCTGATCCTCAGGTGAGGATCAAAAATAAATAAAGCCCCGGCCGGTTTGGCTCAGCGGTTAGAGCGTCGGCCTGCGGTCCAGAGAGACCCGGGTTCGGTTCCCGCTACGGGCACGTACCTCGGTTGCAGTTTGTCCCCAGTCCTGGTTGGGTCGTGAGGGTGGCAACCACTCGATGTGTCCCTTTCATGTCGATGTTTCTCTCTCTCTCTCTCTCTCCCACTCTATCTGAACAAAATATCAAAATAAATAAATAAATAAATAAATAAATAAATAAATAAATAAATGTAAAATGGACAAGGAGAAACTATCTGGAAATGTGGAATAAGGTCTAAATAAGGATGTTAGAATTAACAGAGACACACTGAAAGAGATATCCTGATACCAGGCTACAACCAAAGATAAATTATTTCAGTGAAAATGAGAGTACAGAGTGGAGGCAAGAGAAAGGAGTAAGGATACTCAAAAATGTCATCTTACCAGGAGAGGAGAGGATGCAGAGAATGTTTGAAATGAACAGCTGAGAACTGATATCTCATTCCAAATGAGAAACTGAATTCTCCTATGGAAAGCAGAGGTGATCAGATTGGGCTTTGGGGAAGAAGGAAAGAAAGAAAACTAGCTATAACTTGTTTACAAGAAACCCATACAGCAAAATGAGAACAAGACATTCAATGTAAAGAGGTGGAAATGGTGATGATAGGGAACCAAGATATGTACAGGTGGTAATATTAACATCAGACAGGGCGACCTGCGGCTAAAAGCACTAACCAGCCCAAGGACAGACATGTGACAACAATCCAACAACGTGACAACAAAATATGTAACAAGAGCGATTAAAAGTACAAGGATAATTTGATTTAGAATACACTTAAATTGTACATACCAAACAGACAAAATAATGACATGGGAAAATTGAATAACATGAATAAGGAAGGACCTTGATTGAATTAATATATAGGAAACCTTTTATCAGCCAAATAGAGGTTTTTCACATGTTCACATATAAATAAATGTACTAGTAATCACAAAGAAAATGTTTACAAGTTTTGTAGATGTTATAGACTATATTATCTGATAATTATAAGTAATTAAAATGTGACCTAAGCCCTGGCCAATTTGGCTCAGCGGTTAGAGTGTCGGCCTGCGGACCAATGAGTCTCAGGTTCAATTCCAACCAAGGTCACATACCTCAGTTGCAATTCGTCCCCAACCCCGGTCAGGGTCATTCATGAGGCAACCAGTCAATGTGTCTCTCTCACATCAATGTTTCTTTCTCTCCCTCAGTTTCTCTCCCGCCCACTCTATCCGATGATAAAGAGAAAAATATCCTCGGGTGAGGATTAAAAAACAAATGAAAAAAAAAAAAAAGTGACCTTATGAGAAAACACTCCTAGATCATGATTAAATCAAAGAGGAAATTAAAAGGGAAATTATAAACGGTCTCAAAAGCAATGAAAAAGAGACCATTTCACATCAAAACCTATGGGAGACAGAGAATGCTATACACAAGGAATGTCTGTGTCTTACAAGCCTGCAAATGAAGTATTTGTGTTAAGAAATTAGGAAAAGCCCTGGCCAGTTTGGCTCAGCGGTTAGAGCATTGGCCCACGGACCAGAGGGTCCCGGGTTCAATTCCCGCTAAGGGCCCATACCTTGGTTGCAGTTTGTCCCCTGCCCCAGTTGGGGTCGAGTGGGTGGCAACCACTCAATATTGTCTCTCTCACATTGATGTTTCTCTCTCTTCCTCTCTCTCCCTCCCGTTCTATCTGAATATAAATGCAAAAATGTCCTTGGGTGAAGATAAAAAAAAAGAAAGAAAGAAATTAGGAAAAGAAAAAGGTGACTGGTAAGAATAAAAAGATGGAAATTAATAGAAACAAAATAATAAAGAAACAAATAGAGAAAGAGATAAACCCTACTCACACCTGGTCAAGGAAAAAGCACAAAAAAAGGCAAAATGAAGAACACGAGAGCGATATGACTGCAGACAAAGGAGAATGAATATAACACCACATTCAATTCTGGGGCTGCAAATTTTTAAACCTAGAAGAAATGGATGATATTTTACAAAATGTAGGGAAAAAACAAACTGATCTAAGAAAAGGAAAACTTAAACTAGGACAATTATCTTTGGAACGGTTTCTAAAAGATTAAAAATCTATCATAGAAAAATGTATATCTGAGTTTTCTCAAACCTTCAAAATATAATTTTAATATTATTTTAACAATCTCAGACTATAGGGGGGAAATGTACAGCTCCTTCATTTGTTTTAAATAGCCAGCATAATTGTAATTATAAAAACTGATTAAGCCCGGCCAGTGTGGCTCAGTGGTTGAGCACTGACCCATGCACCAAGAGGTCGTCAGTTTAATTCCCAGTCAGGGCACATGCCCAGGTTGTGGGCCCGATCTCCAGTGGGGGGCATGCAGGAGGCAGCCAACTGATGTTCTCTCTCATCGATGTTTCTATCTCTTTCTCCCTCTCCCTTCCTCTCTAAAAATCAAAAAAGGAAAAACTCATTAAGTTACAGTTTTATTTTTTATACTATTTTTAATCTCACAAATACAAAAGCAAAATTCTAATTATGGTATTAGAGGTAGAGTCCAACAAGGCATCTAAGTTGGGAACAAATTGAATTCCCAGATGCAACAATGGTTCCCTCCCAGGAAACCAGTCAACATTGTATATAACATAAACAAATTAAAACAGAAAAAAAAACCTATGATAGTTCCAATAAATGCTGAAAAGGCTTTTAATTAAATGCAGGAGACAGTCTTAATAAAATACCTAAAAATAGGACTAGAGGAAACTCCTTAAATCTAATGAAGACTATTTCCCAGAAACCAAGAGCAAATTTTGCCTAAATGACAAAACACTAAAAGTATTTTAATTAATGTTAGTAATTAAACCATGATGTCCACCATCACCATAATTGGCAAATCTAGGAAATACACAACGACAAGAAAAAGAAATAGATTGAATAAACCTACCTTCACTGCTGTCAGCTGTGGTTAAGGAAATGAGCACCTGCCAAAAACTGCTTCCAGAAAGATCAAGCGGCACAGCCCTTGTGATGAGCAGTTTGGAAATGTGAACCAAAACCTTCAGAACAGTGCCTGTCGATCCAGCAACTTGACCTCTCAGAACTTACCTGAAGGCCATGATCATGGATATGGGCACAGATTTAGCTACGATGTTATGTTACTGCATTGCTTGTATTTGTAAAATGTTAAAAATAATATTCTAACGTTTCTAAATATCTAAGGAATGTCTTTAAAAACACTACGGAATTGCCTACACAAACTTTGCCATGACTACAGGAAGATGTTTCTGTAAAGGAGTCCCCCCAGCAGCCAGTGTTCGAACATTTGGCCCTTTTCCTGAATCCGGCCAGCACTCTCTGGCCACACTCTCCCAGGCCCAGCTTTTAGCTGCCTCTCAGCCTGTCCCTCTGGATACCTTGTCCCCTGCCCCTCCTCAAATGTCACTTTTCTTCTGGCTTGTCCACCATCTAAGAGAGATGCTATCTTCCTTACTCCCATGCTGGCTGCCAAATGACATCTGCTATCCAGCTACATGCACCTCCTGTACCAAGTTCACAAAGCCAACAAAGTTAAGGGGCTCAGCAATTATCTTGAAGTCACTGCTGCACCCAGCCACATGCCAGCACACAAGCCAAGGAACTCAGGACTGGTTGGAACAAAGCGGCTGACTTGCCCACATTAGTCCGATAGCCCCTGGTACTGCATTTTGATGAAGTAACCTCGGAGCATAGGGTGTCAGAGTGGTGAAACGTGAACGACACTGACCACTGACAGCCTGTGATTTCCCATCTCTATTATAAGCTAAAATGACAGCCTACTATCAAGCAAGGATTGCATAGCTTCTAAGATCCAGCTTTCTATGCTGCTTCCTCCATGCCTAGCTCTCTGAGTTTTTCCTCGTGGATTTGCCATGGAAGTATCATTTAGCCATTTTTTTAATCACAGGGAAATCACCTAGTGCAACTGGAGAACTTTAGAGCTGCCCTGAGATTGCGAGTGACAGCCTCCTCATTCCAACTTGGCATTCTGCCTGCTGACCCCCCAGAAGCAGGGTTCAGACAACACTCAAACCTGCCCGAGGAAGCTGTTCATTTCATTACAAAAGCAAGAGCCAGAAAACAATTCCACTGCAAAAGGAAAAAGCATCCAGAACTGGAAGCCAAAGGAGTCACAAAGCCCCAGCTGGGACTGTCCTCGGCCTGAGACTGCAGAAATCGGGATCCTTCCTTCTGTGCACACAGCCACAATATCAAGATCAGAAGTGTCTCACCTCGCCTCTGCCTCCTGTCCTGCTCAGATGCTCTGCGCTTATTCTTGGGGCCCTCAAGCCCAAATTGCCCACAAGTCGACCAAGCTCCTCACCTGGCTGCAGGTCAGCCACCTTTCTGGGCAATGGCCTCAGACGTGGAGGCCAGTGAACACGTGCAGAAGGCCGAGGACACAGGCTGTCTGGCTCAGTGCCTCTGGCCTGCCCAGGCCCAAGGCCTCGGTAGCTAACGGGCAGATAGATGCCCAGCCCGACCACAGGACCTCCAGACCACTCGCTCATCCTCTCTAACATCACTCGACTCTATTCTGCACTGCCAGTGTGCCTGTCCCTATGCAGACACAGCAGGGACACAGGCCAGGGGGTGGCTCAGGGCACTTCCTGCCAAGTCCACAAGGGAGAAAGTGTAACCTCCAGGGGCAAAGGGGCAGCCATGGTCTGTTACTACCAGTTTGTACAAACACAGGACCTGATTCTGCACTTCTCACGGCCAGTCCCTTTGTGAAACTAGAACCTCTCCCCGTCTTTCTGATCGCACGGCTCCAACGGCACGACCGGGTCCCTGAACGGCGTCGCTGCCGGCTCCTGCTTTCCAGACTCCGGAAACCACAGAGTCGCCGCCCCAGAGAACGCCTCCGTGGGCAGCATGTGACAGATTCCCAACAGACCGGCCCAAGCACCTGGCATCCAGGGAAAATAACTAACCAGCAAACAGTTCCACAGTTTAACATTTTAATTATTTAGAAGCTCTCTCCTTTTTCCCAGGGTGGCCTAGGTGTTGAGAAGGTGGGCTTCCCTGCTGTGGGGGAGGTTGTCTCTGAGCAGTGACGTTTAGGTCCTGGGACCTCCCTCTGAAGCCCCAACACAAGTCCAGCATGGTCCCTGCAAGTCCCTGCTGTACGGTCACCACAGGTGACAATGAGCAGCAGGTCATTGACTGACCGAGTGGGGGAAACAATTCAGGCCTGTCCCACCCCTTCCTCTTCCTGCCTGTGACATTCCACTCTGCTTCCACCCCTTCCCCAAGACTGTGGCTTGGGCATCCTCTCTCTCGAGTAGCCTGTCTGCTGGGGAGTCTCCCTGGAGTGTGCAGAGGTCTCCAGGCTTCCAGCCCCCCACTAGGGTGGGCCCTCACAAGGACTCATGCTCTGTGCTACAGGTAATCACAGAAGCCAGCACCGGCCAGGGCCAGCACCTCATCCGTACACCCTTTACAGGAGTGGACGACTTCTTCATTCCCCCAACAAACCTCATCATCAACCACAACAGGTGAGACCTGCCGGGGAGGCCCTAAGGCCCTGCATGCTCCAGGTGGGGCCTGCTCCTGTCTCTGTCTCCCCGACGCCTTCTGGGCTCGCTTGGGACCCCATCAAGAAGGGACAGAGAGACGGACCCATCCCTCATCCTTAATTGTTAAAGTTCAGAAAAGCACCCAGCTCTGAATGCCCTCAGGGCCCAGTGAGGCCAGGGGGTCGCATCTTCCAGGCCAGGGCAACAGGGGAAAGGAGAAATCAGCAATGGTTAATGTAGTGCCCTCTCCTTGCTAGACACACAAAAAAACTAATAGAAGTAGTCTCGAACCTATTTTACAGATGAGGAAACTGAGATTCAGAGAAGTTAAGACACTGGCCAAGGTCACACAGCCAGAAATTGGCAGTCAGACCAAATGCAAAGCCAGGTCTCCTTTGAGTGCTCCATTCTGCCTCATTCTCTGCTAACCACAGCCCATGGTTCGTGTCAGAGCCCACCGAGCAGCCATGCAGGGGGCTCACGGGAAACGAGGCCCCTAGGTGCCTGGCCTGCCACCATTCAGAAGAAGAGCCTCATAGTAACAGCCTCAGCAGCAAACCTCATCCCCGCCTGGCCACTCCCACCCCCGCATCTTTCCAGAGCACCCCTGACACTTTCTGTAAAGTCACCACTGCCAAAAGACTAAGCCTGCCCTTTACATAGTCATCAAGACCCAGCTGTCATGTGGCACTATTTATGACTTCCTTTAATACTTTCTCTAGGAATACATGATTCATTGTTGCAAGCTGGTGCTGGACTTGTAAAAATAGGACTCACCCATGTATCCTTGCTCAAGGAGGAAGATAACCACTTTCGGACCCCACCCCACCCCATCCCATGCACAGTGCCTGGGGAGGAGCCTCTGGTGCGGCTCTAAATGGGGACACCCCCTCAGAGCAGCTGAATGCAGCTGGGAGCCCTGCACACTCAGAGGCTCCTCAGCCCGTGTGTGGCTTTCACATTAAAGCTCCTTATAAGAGTGAGGTTTTCTTCCCTGGCTTTTCCGTGTCCCAGCTCTATAAGGATGCTTCATGGATGCTTTGAAGAGGGTGTTTTCCCCACTCTGAGGCACTGTTATTCAAGAGAAAGTTGTGGAAGCGATCTTCTCTATTCCTGTGGGGGTACACAAGGTCAAAACACCCCTGTGAGCAAGGGATTTAGGAGAGGCTATCAGATCCCAGGGGAGTCCTGCCTGGGCCACCCTGTTTTGTAGCCAGCAAGGGGCCTCCAATGAGGAACTTCAGGGAATCAACTGTGAGCTGCTACCACCTACTGAGCTCTTCCACTAAGGCTTCCTCTTAGATTTAATCCTCCCAACAGCCCTCCAAGGAACTACCCTCTGTAGATTCAGAGGCTTAGACAGCACTCAGCTCATGGGCCCTCTGGCTCCAAAGGTAAAAGCTACTGTCAGCCCTCCTGCCCAAGGTTCCTGCCACCAGCATCACACGTGTGGCCAGAGAAGTGTTCCCAGGGAGAGGGGCACTGACAGGAAGCCCGGGCTTGCTTCGCTGAATCTGCGTCCTCGAATCCGGACTCAACACAGCGAGGCAGCCTGTCCTGTCGTGGCCTCAGCGGGCAGAGTCGGGCAGGTGGTTCGGTCCTTTCCCTCCGGGCACAGGGCACCCCTACCAGCTGGCCAGGGCCTCGGGGAGGATGAGTCAAACACATCCCTAAGGCAGCCACCGTGGAGGCCTTTTACTCTCCTTTACAGTTGCTAAAGATGAGAGCCTGTCCTGAAAGCTTAAGTCCAGGAACATTTGTAACTGTTGAGCTGTTCGAGGCCACAGATGAAGCACTTAGGAAGCCATGCCCTGCAGAATGGCAGGTCTTCTCCCCAGGCTATCTGGTCACTGAAGGAGTACGAGAAAGAGAAAGAGAAAGGGGCCGCAAGCCTGTGAGGTGAATGGCACAGATCCCCAACCCCTGAAGGCCTCCAACCTCTGACCTCAGTTCTCCCCCTCCCAGGTTCGGCTTCATCTTCAACAAGTCTGTCCCTGCAGTTCACAAAGTCGACCTGGAAACGCTGATGCCCCTGAAGACCATCGGGCTACAGCGGCACCGCTGCCTGCCGCAGGCCCTGGCCCACACCCACCTGGGCGGCTACTTCTTCGTCCAGTGCCGACAGGACCGCGCCCCTGCTGCTGCGCCACAGCTGCTGATCGACAGCGTCACGGACTCCGTGGTCGGCCCCAACGGCGACGTCACCGGCACCCCGCACACGTCCCCCGACGGACGCTTTGTCGTCAGCACTGCTGCCACCAGCCCCCAGCTGCACGTGCAGGAGGTCACGCTGCAGGGGGAGATCCGGACCCTCTACGACCTGAAAATAAGCCAGGGCATCTCGGACGTGGCGTTCCAGCGTTCCTTCACCCACAGCAACCAGTACTACGTCTACGCCACGCTGGAGACAGAGCCCGACCTGCTGTTCCTGGAGCTGTCCACCGGGAGCACGGGCGTGCTGAAGAACTTCAAGGAGCCGCCCCTGGGGCCAGCCCAGTCCTGGGGGGGGCCCCGCAGGATCGTGAGGGACAGCGGGCTGTTCGGACAGTACCTCCTCATGCCAGCCCGGGAGTCACTGTTTCTCATCAACGGGCGACAACACACACTGCAGTGCGAGGTGTCAGGCGTAAAGCGGGGGACCACAGTGGTGTGGGTGGGCGAGGTATGAAGGAGGCCAGAGCCTGAGCCACTGAGCCGCACCCCATCCTGACGCTGCAGCCCCGGCAGGCGCCCTGTACATTTTCACAGACAAAAGCAAAACCTGCCTTCGCTTCGTGGTTCAACACTGGTCTCCTTGCAAGTTTCCTAGTCTAAGATGCGCGCTGCTAGCCAGGTTGGGGTTTCTGTTAGGAGCGACGGGGTATGCCTTGATCTACGATGAGAACCCAGGCTGCTGTGGAAAGGAGTCGTCTCTGGGCCCAGCTACACACCATGTCACGCGGGGCCGCCGTGGAACCGAGAGCTCTGCTTTCCAGGCGGGCATTTCCGTCGGTTGCCTTCCCCCAGTCATTCTCCTGTAGCGCCAGATGCAGCCAGACTGCAGCCGCGGGCTGGAACCAGGCCTGGGAACCCGGGGCCAGGAGCCGGGCCCCCTCCTGGCATGAGCACCACACCTGTCCTGCTCTGCACCTTTGTCCTCCGCCACAGCTGCTTCCTGCTTTTCTTTCCATTTGACTTGTAAGCCTGAGAGAGCCAGAAAGACTTATTGCAGCTTGGGGGTAGGGAAATCACTCGCTTTATTTTGGAAATTTTGATTAAAAATAATTTTTTATAATCTCGAATGCTAGTTAGCAGAAAGACGCTCTCTGGGGTGCAGCTCTATTCGTCCTGCCTTAGGCCAAGTCTCAGAGTCACCGCCCACAATCCCGCCAGAAAGAACAGTGGGCATCGAAGAATAACAGTCCTCCACAGCGCTGACGCCCCCACGTGCACATCAGCCCCACACTGGTAAAGACTCCGTTCTGGGCTGGAACCCCAAGAACCCAGGACAAACCCTGTGTGCCTGCTTTTCACCAGGGAAGGGGGGTGTTTATCAGCCAGGCCCAGATTCTGGGCAGACTGCTTGCCTGGCAAGGTGTGGGCAGCCTGCAGAATAGTGACCTCCCGGTTCAACGCTGAAACCCCAAGGACACAGTGAGGTCCAGGCAGGTTTCTTTGACTGTCCCTTTTACAAACCAATGTCCTTTCTGCCTCTGGCCCTTGTGCTCAGCTCTGGTATCCCTGGTCCCTGCATCGGCACAGCGCAGTGAGGGTTTTCAGGAAGTGTTCATGCTTACACACGGGCCCCTCTCTCCCCAGTAGCACATGCTCCAAAACTCAGAATCAGAAGGATGCAGGCTGGTTATTATTCTACTGAATTATTCCCAAATGTGTTGGGCTATGGACGGCTATCAGAAGTATCATCCAACTAGCTCTGGGAAAACAGCTTGTGTTGAAGAACCTCAGCCAGGAAGAGGCTCCCTTGGGTTCTCAGAACACCCCTTTCCTTCTCACATCAGTGGCCAAAGCATATGGCACTCTTGCTGGCTTGAATGATCGCTTTTCAGCCACCTGGAGTTGGGAGAGGTGGTCCCATCGCACGCACCTTAGCTAGTTTAGCCCCTTCACCTGCCAACATGGCCGTGATTTTCCTGCGCTGTCGAGAAATGGCCCTTTTCAGGGAAAGGAAGGCAGGACCCTGCCTCACTCTAAATACACAGCTCCCTTTCATTCCCACCCGACTGCCTAAGCCACCTGCGCCCCCACCCCACTCCCACCTGAGATCGGCTAGTCTTCTGGTGGGTCTCATGTATCTTGGTCCACCAAATACGTTTCCTACAATTCTCAGGCATGTGCCTACATGCGTACATTCACATTTTAGATTTTTTTTAAAAAGGTACAATATGTAGATATAGGTTTACAAAACTAACTTCAAATGCCTAATATTCAGTTTTATAGTAACTGGGATGAGTGGATCTCACCCTTTCTTTTTATTCTTGCCTCAATCTCTTGACACATTTACTTCCAAACTCCCACTTTTATCACGGAAATTCTTCAGCTTTCATGAACTTCACCCTCTGGAAAGTCTAAATTGTGGCAGCGCTTGGCAGAAAAAGTCTCCGAGCCCACCGACGCCCAGGCTCAAACGCTGGCCCCTCTGGGTTGCAGGATTCCTGAGGAAAACACCAAACTGATCCCAACTGGCCTTTTAAACTGGGAGTGATTTCTACAGCATCTACTCCTTTCCCATTATTCCTCCCCCCTCTAAGCACATCGGCCTCTCTCTGTCCTCACTGTGCAGTTACAGGAGACGGCCAGCTTCGGTCCCGTGTGCCAGACACTACCGAGCCGGAGAAAGGAATCACGGACATTCCCAAACTCACAAAGGCCCGCGGATAAACGTTTTCCACCAGAGCTGCTCGGGTAGGAGGCAAGGGAGAGGCTGGCCCCAGAAGAGGCTCATGGACACAATTTGAAACCAACAGGGTAAGAAGTCATCACAACAGGTAGGCCTTGAAGCACGCCCAGCCAGCAGTCCTGGTCTACACAAAGATGGACTAACTGCTAATATTTCACACTAAAGAAGTATTCATTTTACCAAAAGAAGAACAAAAAGGCCACGTACATAGTGAGCTCACTATTCCAACATTACTGAATTTTGAAATAAAATTAATTTCACAAAAATTCAATGTAGATTTTTTTTTCAGAGTAACAAACAAATAATCTGCACCTGTGGTAATATTAGGCTTTGAAATGGAGACCCTCACTGTCCTGCCCTCATGAGCCCACGTGGAGGTTCTGGGTCCAAAAGCCACACAGCCACCCATGGACTGGTTGTAGAAAGAGGGATGTCTGTGGTGTGGACTTTCTGCACCAGGAGGCCTGAGCGTGGACCGTGCAGCCCTGACGCATTGAGCCTCACCGGGACTGGCCCAGCGTTTATGTCACGTCTCCAAGTCATTCACGGGTCGTATTACTTACCCAGGCCCCTGGAAGTAGCCAGAAGAGCCCTTTAAAGACTCGGCTGGGGCCAACCACGCCTACCAAGCTCCAGGTACTTTGATGTAGAGATAGCATCACCCAGCACAGAAGCTCAGTCCCTGTCATTCCCACCCCCAACTCAGCCCTCCCCCACCTCCCTGCTCCTGTGCAGAAAGGGCTCCCAGCTCCAGGTAGGTGCCCTGTAGGACAGCTTTCAACCCCAAATAAAGCAGAGAACCACCTGCTGCCCAGGTAATGGCTGAGACTTCATGTAGGACAGCAGCCTAGTCAGCCTTGTGCAGCCACAACTTCTCATTTTCTCTTGGCCAATAACCTGTGAACTAAAGGCAACTTCAGAACTGAGATGGGAGACAGATCCATTCTGGATATATTTTTCTACAATGGGCTTAAAAAGTAATCGGTTGATTTCTCACAATGTGTTTTATTCAAATACCACAAACTCTGAACCATCTTCATCACCAAACCCCATAGCTTGCTCTCTCTGATCCTCCTCTTCAGAAGCAAGGCCCCAGGACAGCTGACTCAGCGCCCACCTCCCTCCTACACATCCGCCAATCTACCTCACATTCTCTCCCCTGCACCCAGCACCGCCAAGCGCGCCCCCACTGCAGGAGGCCAGACAGGTGATGTGGACGAGGACAGCGCTGACATGAAGTCCTTTGCCATCCTCCCCCACCCAGGACCCAGATCCCACTCCAAGTGCAATCACAACCCATGGGACACAGCCCCTTGATGCCCAGAATCACACCCTCCAAACACTTGCCTGCAGCCCTTTGGAGTGAGGTGACCAAAACTCAGAACGTCAGGAAAGCAGCTACTATCAGACAGAAACTGTCGACAGAAATAGAGACCATGACATCTGAGCCAAGCCTCCTGCCTGAGATGGTCTAAACTACACCTCCCTCCAATCCAACTTTATTCTCTGATTTTCCTGCTTCCTTCCTATACCTGAGCTTTCTGCTCCAATAATTCAAAAGACAACTGACCACCGCCAAACCGGCCCCACAGTGGCTTTTGCCCTTGCTGCTTCCTTGTTTTGGGGTACAAGTAAGACGACACCTGCAGGGCCAGATACTTCTGTCTCCTCACAGACTGGCATGTAGGCAACGTAGTTTTTTGTTCAAGAATGTCACTAGCTGCATCTCCAAAATCATAGCAATCACAGGACAGAGATGCTTTAAAAATTTAAGGGGAAAATATCTCCTCAAGGTGTGGCTACAAGACCCCAAGTACCTGGCGGAATGCAACCCACTTCCTGCTTTGGGCTCCACCAGATGAGCAGCCAAGTCACAGAAGGATCTGAGCATCTTCCCTGGGCCTGCAGGCTTCAGGCACCGGCCACCTAGCGGTCAGCAGGAGTCCAGCAGGCATGGTCTCACACACGCTTTGGAGCTGTGAGCAGCAAGTGGGAATTTAACCAAATATGATGTGTGAAATTATGGAAGATACAGGGAGAATGGGGATTGGTCTCCAAAACTCACAGCAAGGCTTCTTTAACCAGCGTCAGAGTATCGAGCATGTACTATTTTTTTTAACAAAGCCACAATTCACACACCCCTCTTTTCAAACTCACCTTAACTAATATGGAACGAGCCCTTCCCCCGAGGCCCCAGAGAATGTGGGCCATGACCTAGAGGGCTCCAGAGGGCTTAGCCTGCTCTCCGCAAAGCAGTAACTATTGCCTTGCCCTTCCCCCATGCCCGGTGGCACATGACACCATGGCAGGGTCAGAGAATGCTGCCTTTTGGGGACCCCCATCAAGATCAGAGCTTCATTTCTAAGGAAGGGCAACCAGTATTGGCTGGTATGGGGCCCAAGAGCTCTCAAATTAGAAAACTCCCTGAATCTAAACCTTCACCCACTGCCCCGCGGGACATCTGCCACGGGTTTAATAGTCGTTGGTCCCTTACCACTTCAGCTGCTTCAGAGAGGCGAGGGACAACAGGTCTGCAAGTCACCCACACCAGAGCCACAGCACACCCTTCTGGGAGCCCCCGTGGCCCACACCCCAGTGCCCAGCCCCGCCCCTCCCTGGCCCGGCCCTGCCGCACCCTGCCTTGCCCACTGCCTGTGCTTTCTGAAGGCCGTGTGAGACGACCCGGAGCAGAACTGGGCATGGAGTTTTGCTGGCGTGCTCACACACACTGTTTCCTGCTGTCGTGTAGCTGAATGCCCCTCAAGATACGA